ACGCACATGCGTGTGTGTGTGTTTGTTGTACTCCGTACAATGTCAAGCAATGCGTACGACTACCGTTGCAGGTAGGGATATCTGAGCGAGCAAAAGGGGGCGGCCAAGGTGTAGCCTAGCCAAGCCAGCCAAGGCGTCAGGATGCACGATTTTCCTCTCTGCATCTTGGGACGACAAATGGGTGGGTGTGCTGCAGCTGCTTGCTGCTCGTCGAAATGCCGGGCACCCCCTGGCTGACCGATCTCAATTAATCAACATTGATGAAATTGAAAGTTTAATCTTGATCGGCGTGGCCCAGCCACCATTGACCCCTGAGATTGCGACAGCAACGGCAGCGGTGGCATGAAGGCATCAATGTGGAAAGAACAGCTGGCCGCTCCAGCCAAAACGGCCCTATGTATACCAGACATGCGCATGGCCATTGGACCAGGACTGTCTTGTCATCACATCAAATTCATCACTGCGCCCACGTGCAGGGAGCAGCGGTGCTCCGGGTCTTCCGAGTCAAGCGAGGCCTTTGTTCAACCAGACTGCAAGGTGTCTCGCTCATTCACACCAGACTTACTTGTGCAGACTTTTGGCCGCACATGCAGGCTACATGTACAATGGCGCCCACATGCATGTCTGGCGTTTTCAATCTTGTCTCAACGGCGCCACTGCCGCGCAGCACCATGTACCACCATTGGCCATTCTGCGCAGCCCTCGACATGCGAGCGGTTCTGGAAAACGACAGAGAACACGCACGGCCAGGTCTCACTGCACTCCTCGCCCCCGGTACGTGCATGCGTCGCCCGGCCCCGTCATCCATCGCGACGGGTCGCCCAGCTGCAGCCTCAAATGGCAGCCGTGAACTGCTCTGCCATGTGGGTTATCTGCCGAGCCCGTTCGGTGAAGCCGCCCGTTGCTGGGAAGCTGCATTGAGCTGCAAGATGAGAGACGGAGGTGAAGAAGAAGAAGAAGATTGAAGAGGCAACATGGACCGGCTTTGGCGCCAATGGGTCGAGTCAGGCCTTAATCGACCCGCAGAGACCCCCTGACTGGGCCCGGAACCGTAGTTGACTGGTTGACGGGTTTGACGGGACCAAGGATAGGGATAGAGATAAGGATACGCCTTGATGCACATAGTACTAGTAAGTAGTCAAGTACATACTACTGGAGCACACACGGGTATTTCCCGCTTGTGTAAACCATGTACATACTTGCGCGATCAGGTACGGAACTGGGTTGTAAAAAAAAAAATTAAAATAAGAAATAAAATACCGGGATAAAAAAAACTCAAAAACAGTCCTGCTGAGATTCCGATCCCCAACGCCAGCAGCCGCGCGCATCTCGTTCGTCCATTCGCCGTCACGGCCTTGAAATGTTGAAACGTCGCCGTTTCAATGCCCAGACGCCCCCGTTGCCCAAAATAAGCCAAAACCGACATCTGGACCAGTCGGCCCAATTGCTGCACGCACGCAGACGATCATGGCGGCGCCCTGCCACCTGCTGCGAGCCTCTCTCCCTGCCCAAAACCCTGCGCGCGATTCTCCCGCTGGCGCTGGCGCTGCCACAAAGGTCCAAGCCGCCTTGAAACCTTATCTCGTCGACTAGAGATCCGTGGCGTGCCAAGTGCCGGACGGCGAGGCCAATCACAGCCAGCGCCGACACCTGTCCTCATTCCGGCCGGCGATATCACCATTTTTTTTCTTTGCTCCTCCCACCGAACTTGCAACGCTGCCGTCTCCCTGCCGCCGATGCCACTGCCACTGCCACTGCCACTGCGTGCAAGTCCACTATTCTGCCTCGAGAGGAGACCGGACACCTGGGCATTACGTGTCCGCCGTGAAGCGATTTCCTCGGCGGCCCAGAGATATGCTCGCTGATCAACCCGTCTTGCCAACGGCAGACATGGATGCAACCCACGCCGTCGTGTTTAGTAATTCCTCCGCGTGCAAACCCTCGTAGAAAAACCCAGAGGAGCTATAATACCCAGGGGGGGCGTGCTGTTCTTGACATTTTCCACAGTTTAAAAAAAAAATAAACATTTTCGGCATCTAGTCCTTCCTGACGCGTTACATGGCTCTCTACTAACTATGCCCTCATATCCACCGCGATACGACTCTGCCACGTAACAGTCTCATATCTCGGAGACAAGACGCCATGGATAGTCAGCGGCCTGTATCACATTGGACTTGACGTGTCGGAGAATCGTGTATCATGTCTAAATTTATGTTTATACAGAGCCCAGACTCTGCTGCTCTGCTCGCACTGACGCCGCTGAGCGCCGCAAAACATGTTGAGATGAAGTGCGGCCGTTTTGAGCGCCGTCTTTTTATCTTCACACACGTAACGGACTTGGCTGTCGCCGTTGGAGATCCTATACTTGTCTACTCTATTCTGAGCCAAAGCTGGTGTCTACGAATCCCCCAGCGCTGTCACCGTGTAGTTGACTCCCCAGGACACGGACTTCTAGTTTAGTCTGTTCTTTTTTTCTTCTTCTTCTTTGCCTTCCGCCCGCGCTACATTATTCGACGGCCGCTTGTGTACATATTCTTAAATAGAAACTGCGTCAATGACTCTGTTGCTTAAAAACCCCGTTGCTCATTACTCATCTATCCCTACCCAGGAGTGTCGTCAGTGACCGTGTTCCGACTTGTCCCGATCCCCACTTGCTGCAAGAACACAAGGAAAGAAGCAAAAAAACTGCCAAGCTTCAAGCTGTATGTACGGAGTATTATACTGCAAAATATTCATGCAAGGAGATTCTACCATGTATGATGCAAGAGTTGTTTGCTGCAGAAGTGACAACCCACACTCGCAGAGGTTCCGTGATTCACTCATCACATTTCCTTCCTTCTCCCATAGACTCCCGAAACTCCTTTGAGAATAAGCCATCCAGCCAGGAGACGGTGGAACCACCGCCCAATTGAAGATTCAAGCAGCGTGGGCTTTTCATCTGCGAGCCGCCACATCCATGTCTCATTGACGAGAACAATCCTCTCCTCAGCAGGTCCTTCGTGACTTGTCCTCGCACCAGAAGCAGGCTCAATGGCAGCCAGAATGAGACCCCGAATCCTAGGGCCTTTGTAAGACGGCGGAATGTCAATGAGGAGCTCTACCCGTTCCGATCCCGTCGTTTGCTCCTTGGTGCAAGAAGACACTCTATATACACCATTCACAATGTCGCCTGATTGGAAGCACAGATTATCGATCCATGCTCTATCGAAGCTTCCCTTGTTCCGTGGCTCCGACAGTGCGCCACGAATAATGATTGCTTGGGGAGTCCGGCTAAAGGCCTTTTGCATACTTCTCGACACCTCTTGCAGCAGCCTCGATGGCTGAGTTGTCGGGCCCGAGGATTGCGGTTTCTCTGGTCGATAGGCAAGGGATGACGGCGATAAAGACTTCGAGACGACTCTTTCATATGTCACGACCCACCGAGACGGATCATCTTTGACTTCGGCCGGGAGGCTGTGCGGCTCCGCTGGATGTGACGTCGCAGAGGCGAATGCTTCTTGGCGAGAGACGAGCGTGCCAGACGTCGATGTGGTGTTTCGATATACGGTCCAGCTCGTGTACAAGACATAACTCACGGGGATGACGACGGGTACCAGGGCCAGTGTTGTCATGGCCATGGGACGATGAGCGGACAAGGTCTCCAATGAGACCCCAAAGAAAGGCATTCTGGCAGTTGCGCAAGTCTGACGGCAGAGATGCGGTGGAACCAGGCCGATCGATGCTGAGGGGACACGGCTGCTGTCTCCTAGATGATCGAGGTCGTGTCAAACCCCAAGTTGATCGCGGGGTTTGAATCCGGAGGGCGCCCGCGGATTTTCCCGCTAATCTGCGCCGGACACCTAGAAATGGAGCGTGGCCTCCTCGAGCGGCCGCGTAACGCAATGGTTCGTGGCTTGGACTTGGCAAAGGATTAGCGCTGTCGTGCAGGGTAGTGGTTAGTGGTTCGTCGCTCGAACACGTCCGTGCCGCGGCTGTCCTGAGATGGCCAAGAAAGAGGTTGACGAACAATCCAAGGGGAAATCGTCACAGATAAAGGTAATTGAGTGTCTGCATTGGGCGTTATCTTATGGAATAACTCAATGTGGGAAAGAGCGACGGCCGTCTGGTCGGCATTGCCTGGTTCAATTGGCTACTTGTCACGACCTCCCAACACAGAGCCTTCAATAGTGCAAAACGACTGCAGGTTAGCATGGGCCCTCATCTGGAGCCGACTGTCGGCAAAAATACAAAATCCAAACAGCGGCACGGAACTTTTTCAGATGTCAATCGGCCGAGCCATCTCAACGCTCCAGAGATGCCAAGCAAGATTCCCCCAACCACGAACCCACCTCTCCGTATGGAACGACGCTTATTATGCGGTACCCCACACTCGAGATCGAATTCATCCAGAACTGGTGGCCCGGGTTGTGCCAACATCCGCCAGCCAACGCAAGCCACCACGCGGATCTGAGCAATCCAAGCAGACTACGGATTTACGCGCGAGGCTGCTCATTGGCCGTCCCTCAATCGAAACAGCGCAGAAGCCACCCTTCAGGAGGTGGTTCTCGAATCGACAACGATACTTGGGCTGTGGCGTCCCCTCGCCTAACCTGCAGGCGTCGACGTCGACGTGCCACTGGAAATGAGCGACCAGCTTCCCTTGGCAATGCCATCGGGAATAGGAAATGGAGCCTCCTCCGCGCACTGTCGAGTCTGAAGCTAGTGTTGGACCAAGGCTGGGGTAGAGTTACAATGGCCCCCGTTTTTGGATGGCCAAAGGGGGAGGGGATGGCACATGTCTGGAGTCATGATCTTCATGTCCACCCCTCTTTGACCACTCCTTGGCACCAGTCTATCTTTGCTATAAGGTATCGGTCATCCGGCCTTTTGCTACATATGGACTGTTGATGTCGCTAGGTCGGTACGTGCTAAAACGACTCGTGCCATTAGCCTCATCTTGTCTCAAGAAGAAAGTCGATTGTAGCCAAGCAAGGGAGGACAAACAATATACTACCGCCGTTATGGATCGTCGTGACAGCGACAAGAAAGCGGGCGGGTCTGTCGATTACGTTGAAAGAGACGGATCCGCCAACTTGACACTATGGCAGTCGGTAAAGCGTTACAAGAATGTTGTCTGGTGTTGCATTGGCTTGACCACGACCATTTTGTTGTTTGGCTACGACTATGTCATCGTTGGCACTACGTCTGCCATGCCGAGCTTCCAGTAGGTTTTGCAGCTCTTGCTTTTCCTTCCCCGCATGCCGGCCACCACGTCGTCGAGCGAACCCCTCAATAACTCGTGTGAACAGACGAGACTTTGGACGCAGGCTTGATGGGCATTGGATTCTGCCCTCATTGTGGCTGGGCCTGTGGACGTTTGCAAGTCCAGGAGGGTCCATTATCGGCGCCTTCTGCGGCGGTCAAATTCAGGATTCGGTGGGACGCAGAGCCTCCATTGCTGTCGGATGCTTCTTGTCAACCATTGCAGTTGCTATATGCTATGTCTCGTACGTGCCGTCCGACATTGACACCCGACGCGGCGTCTTCTTGGCGGGCAAGGCGTTTCAAGGACTTGCCATTGGGATTGTCACGACAACAACGCAGACGTACATGTCCGAGGTTCTGCCCCCGAGTCTTCGAGGACCGATCTTGGCCTTCTTCCCCATGTTTACTCTGCTAGGTCAGTTGATTGGGGCTGCCGTTATTTTCGGATGCATGGAAATGCCCAATGGATACGCCGTTTGCTTTGCATCACAGTGGCCCTTCTCCATCGTGCCGGTGATTGTGGCATTCTTCATCCCCGAGAGCCCAACTTACCTTGTTCGCAAGGGCAAGATGGCCCAAGCACTGAAATCCCAGCAATACCTTGAGCCCGTGGGCGGAGATGCCCAACAGACTGTCGATGTTATCCGACGAAACATCGAGCACGAACGAAGGATGACGCAGGCGACTTATATTGACTGCTTCAAGCGCGCCAACTTGAGGAGGACCTTGATCGTCATGTTGGCTGGGGCGTTGCCGCAAGTCTTTGGCCTCGCCTTGCTGGCCAAGGCTAGCTATTTTGCCCAGGTGGTCGGCATCTCGGCAAACATGAGTGTTGTTCTGTTAATCGTAGGCATTGTTTGCGGCCTTCTGGCCAACACAGCCAGTATATGGGTTCTGCACCACGTGGGACGCCGCCGCCTCATTCTTTGTGGTCTGTTGGGAGTCTCCTTTCTGTGGCTTACCATGGGCATTTCCGGCATATGGGACCAACAGCCGACCATCATGTTCGTACTTGCTCCCCTGTCCGTAGTATGCCGTGGCCGACTTTGCTAACACGCCGCATCCAGATATACCGCATTCAGCATGACTGCAATTATTGTCGTAGCTGGTCTCAGCGTATGGCCGGCCTCGTATGCGGTTGGTGCAGAAACGTCGTCTCTGCACTTGCGAGGCAAGTCGCAGGGTATTGGGTGGCTGACGGCTGGTGCGTCTGCGTCCCTTTTTGGCTTCTTTACGCCTTACCTTTACAATGCCGACGCGGCCAACCTCAAGTCCAAGATTGGCTTCATCTTTGCCGGCCTGTGTGCGGTTGCAGGTGTACTGTCGTACTTTTATGTTCCGGAGATGAAAGGCCGCACGCCGGCAGAAATTGATGCCATGTTTGAAGCCAAGCTTCCGGCCAAGGAATTCAAAACTTGGACTGCTCCATCTTCAAATAGTTCGCAGACTGCGGGAGAGAGGAAAGAAGAAGAAGAAGCATGATTGGACATGTAAGGCAGCGAGCCTACCGGGTGTGCCACGGTGCAAAGTATCTTAATTTTTTTTTTTCAATACCTTTCCAACCCCCCTGAAGCCCATATCATGGCGCCTCCCATGCTTCCTCAATCAAAGTCCCTGATGGTTCCGGCAGGTGACGTACAAGCTCGAAACTCCTTTACAGGGTCCAACCAATTTTCAAGTGTTGTCAAGGTTGAAGCCATGTGCCCAGTTTCATAGCCAATACCGTGTATACATGCCAGCGTAGATGTCAAGTATTATATATATCCATCCGAGGCTTGTGTCGTCTAGTCTTGTAAGCCGCGCCGTGGAATTCTCTTGTCCGCGTAAAGCAAAAGCATCATGGCAGAGGGCAGCACTCGACGCGATATCTTTCCCTCTCCCGCAAGTCAATCCGTGTCAGAGGGCAGTCTCTGCCTCTGTACACAACAGCAAGACGACAGTAGCCGAGTCCCGAAGTTTGAAAATCACCTCGATTCCCGCCACGGCCCACGTGGTGCGGGAAGAGCAGCCTCAAACGCCGCCTCGATTTTCTCCTTCTACAATACCCCAGGTCGAAAGCCGAGAGACGATTGCGGGCAGCGGGGGAAGGGCAGATTGCCGGCCAGCGCGGACCTGACTCCCAAGTGTCGATATGTTTCGCTTATACAACCCGCCAAACGGGCTTCTTCCCGAGCCTTTCCTCCGCCATGCTTGAATCGATTCCAGGCTGTAAAGGGGACGAGCGAGTGCGCCGCGATGCCCATTTTCCCGCAAAGTGCCATTGAGGCTACTCGGCTTCACGTGTTTGCCAATGCTCCCCTCCCCATCCATCCATCATCCATCCATCCTTTATGTGTTGGCATTCCGCGCATACGACCACAACTGCATGGATGGCGTGGGCACCGGGAAGCCATTGGCATACAAGGGACACGGCCGGCCCTCGGCCAACAAATGTCGGCAAATCGAGCGGTCTCGTGGTCCTCTGTTGACGGCGCATCTTCAGTCATGTACAAGTGTCGCATTGAGCAGAAGCCAGAGTGGCATACGAGGTGCCAAACTTGGAGGGGGGTCGGGGGATGGGTTAGGCGAAACGAATTGGACTTGACTTGTTTCATCACGGTGAACCTGCTGTGAGGGATTCTACCGTGGGATTTGAAGGGGGATTTGTTGGCCGGCTTTGACTTCACGTACCTAAACTGACGGACAGGCTTAACGGCACCTTGGCGCAGTAGTTCGCCGTCTGGATATACCTTGGTCCATTTTTACACTATCAAGACTCCTGGAGGGTCTGGCTGTGGTTGGCATTGTGTGTTATATTATACTTCGTGGTGGAATCCAAGAAGGGGGCGTTGCGAGAATCTTCACCGGTGTCTGATACCAGCTTTTCCATCATCCTCCCGCAACGTACTCGCCTTTCACATATATCCATGCCAAGAATGAAAGTGCGCTGCAGGCCAAGAGATACACTGTTGCCATCTCGAAATGTCCAACATGGCGCAATTCGTCGCAGCCTCGGGAACAAGAACAAGCACAACCAGAACCGTGCTGTTGTTTCATCGTCAATAGCCGCCTCAACGTGCCGTTGATGCCATCGAGCCCGATGCTCCCCGTCCGCTTCGGCCTTTGCTCCATCGCCAAGTATTCTCAACAGGCCAAACGACAATACACCACCGACTGGTCCTATTTAGGCTGTAGAAAAGCATGCACGGTGCAAAATGGCACCGAAGACACTCCGTCGAGCACCGAGACTCGTCTGGTCGTATCGGCCGTACGGAAACACGCCCTTTTATTAAAATCTCTCACCGAACCTGTCCCTCAAGGAGCACGAGGACATGTCGTCCGCCTGCTTGCAGCTATTCCCAACCGCCGCGGATTCCGCAACCTCCTTGACCCAAGTCTACCAGGCTCCTAGTGTCGGCGTCAACCCGGGAAAATTCATGCATCCAAGAGTAGTTAACCCAGTTCTTTGCCGCTTTGCAAATGGCTATTTCGCGGCCAAGAGCTCCCTTTGGGAAGTTGGAGTCAGTTGCAGCCGTCGCCAGGGGCGGAAAACTTGGACACCGCCCATGCCAACACTGATGACTGCCAGCATTGAGCATGCCACGAGGGGTCTACAGTCCTCATGATGTCTTTTTGGACATTTCGGTTCTGAATAGAGTTAGAATACATGGGCCTCCAATAAGACGTCATAGAATAGTCGTGGCACTAGCTCCCGTGCGGCATGCTAGTCCGAGCATGTTGGTTGCGAAGGCGTCTGGTCCCTTTTTTTTTTAAACTTCATACCTATTTGCAAAGGGGCATGGAATTAATGCAACATGTAGCATCTAGTCAGGGGGCATAAAGTATATATACCCTTCTTGCTCTGCGCGCTTCAAGATACAGAATTGCGTCTCAACCCCCCTCGCAGCAAACCCTACGTAATATCAAGGGGCTTCACTTGTCTCCGTCTTTGCCACACTTCACCATGGTGTCGATCCGTGTCAAGTCGGCCATTGCCGTCGCCTCGGCCCTGACGCCAGGCTCCATCGCCCAGCTGTTCACCGTAAACTGCGCGCCGCTGACCTTCTACCGCGGCGATCCCATCATCTTCCCCGGCGTCATCTCCCCCCATGTGCACGCCATTGTTGGCGGCACGCGGTTTGCCCTCAACCTGACCAACGAGCAGGCCAGCCAGGCCAGGGCCACGACGTGCGACAAGCATCTCGACAAGAGCAACTACTGGCAGCCTCAGCTGTACCATCAGCGCCGGGATGGCAAGTTTGAACTCGTCGAGATGCAGGGCACTGTACGTTGTGTTTTTGCTACTGCCAACTATCAGCCCCCCTTCTGGTCTGTATTTATGTAAACTCTGGTACTAACCATCTGGTGGCAAAGGCTGCGTATTACATTGATCGAGCCTGTGACTATGCCCCCGGCAAACAAAACTGCAAAAACGCACCGCATGCCAAGGCTCCGCCAAAGGGGCTGCGCATGGTTGTCGGCGATCCAACTCTGAGGTTTATACTCCCCGGAAAGCTCAACCGCTGCTGAGCTGCAGAGCTGACAGTCCCGGGGATACTAGGACGTATAATAAGTCGAACCCGGAGCAGAGGGCCATCTCGCACGTTTGCCTCGGTGCGGATGGGGGCGAGACGCCTCACCTGCCCGCAAAACCGTGCCCTCGCATGAGAGCAGAGACCTTCTTCCCTTCCTGCTGGGATGGAAAGAACCTGGACAGCCGCGACCACAAGAGCCATGTAGGCCAAGCTGCGTTGCTCAGTCTATTTGCGTGTGGTAGAGAATAAAACAAGAGACTAACTCGGAGGCAATTTTTAGATGGCCTTCCCGGCGGTTGGCGACTACAACACCGGCGTGTGCCCCCAATCCCACCCCGTTGCCATCCTCTCCGTGTTTTTCGAATTCTTCTACAACACTGGCGCCGTAAAAGACTTCAACCGTTGGGTCTGGGCCATGGGCGATCCCACCGGGTACGGCCTGCACGGCGATTACCTCAACGGCTGGGCGGACCAGGCCAAGCTTGACCGTGCCATCGAGACTTGTACTGGTCCCAATGGCGTCAATGACGCCGGCTGCAGCTTGAACGTTGGACCCGATGGCCCCGGGCGTTCGAGCCGTCAACCAGTCGAGGTCCCGCCTCCCAACGAGGAGATTGGATTCAAAGGCCCTCTCGACAAGCTGCCTGGCGACAACCCAGTTACTGGACACCCGGTCCAGGGATAGATATCCACGGACTTGGCAAGGAGAACTGGCGCGTACTTGGAATACTTAGTTTGTACATACTCAGCAGCAGCAGGGATATAGGATAACTAACGCTATCAAAAATGGAGTTTCCCCATGGTCCATTTCCATTGTGTATCTGACAGATCTGTATCTGCGGCCCTATAATTTGCTGGCTGCCCAAAACTGTGCATTGTACGCATTCTTCGTCAAGGCCATGTGATCAAAACTATACACGGCCTCCATGCTCCTCACTGTAGGCTCTGAAAACGTGGGCTCTCCGCAAAAGTCTTCCGTTTCTAGAAACTGAAAGCCCATCTCCTTGGTAATGGCAATTATATCCTTTAGACTGAGTTGGACCAAAGGACTGGTGCCGTACAGCAATGGTCCCAGATTGATCCAGATGCCGCCCTTCTTGAGGACATGGCTGATTGTGTCCAAGTACGACATGAGATTTCTGGCCGTGTCAATGAAGAAGTATGTCAATACTACGTCGTAGTACGCCGACTGATTTTTGAACTCGGTGGTAAAGTCTCCTTCCACCATGAGAACTCTAGATGAGTCGATGGGCACGTCTGGGAAGGGGACGGCACGATTCATGTTTTCGTCGGATACATGATGCGACCAACCATCGACAAAGGGATGAACAGACTGCGACAGGGCCGTGTTTTGGGCCTCAATGAATCTATACACGGCATTCATATACATGGACCACTCATTGACGGTGACCTCGAATCCTGGACCGGTTTAGAAAGAAAAGAACAAGAAAGTTGCAGACATCTCGTGGGACACGCTGGACTTACCACCAAGCTGGCTAATGTCGTGACCTAGTCTGCCCAGACCGGCCCCCGGCAGCAATATGCGCACATCCCCTTTCAAGAGGTTCCGATCGGGAAACAGTCGGCGCAGCGTACCGGCAAGACAGGCAAACGTTGCATTTCTCTCGTTCAACCCTTCGCTCGCCCAATCGCGAACAATGTGTTTCAACGACTGGGAAACCGAGATCTTGTCTGCGTGCTTGCCCTCAGCCTCTCTGTCCGCCATGTGACGTTTGAGCTCGCTCGTCCCAACGTTGTAGAATTCCATGGCAGCGTGGGCAATGTCGTCGCAGACATGCTGATTCGTGGCCAGCTTTTGCTCAACCGTTTTAAATTTGGAAGAGTAGGCCAGATGTTTTTCTAGAAACTATTCCACAATGCAGAAACCACGGTCAAAACAAAAGTTCATGTAACTTGGTACAAGGTCGATTTTTAAATTTGGCAGCGCACCTGTTTCTGAGATTTGGACGCATACTTGTACAAGCCTCGCAGCCGATCAACGTCGGCCCGCTGCCGTTCGTAATACTTGGAGAAGCCGTGAAGCGCGTCAAGAAGGCGATAACGCGGATGATTTGGCGACCATGTCCCGTGATCCCTGGCCATTACCGACAACAGCCTCTCCTTTTCAATGTCGTGGCGAGATGCCTCGGCGACTTGAAATGACTGCTCGAGCGTGAGGTCGACATGGCGAATCTCAACCACGGTCTCCTGGGGCTGGATGAGGGGATAAAGTCAGTTCGCCGTTGTCAAGCAAGTACATACAGAGGCGGATTCACAAACCGCACGGGCTCCAGATGGGCCGTCGGGGATCTTCTCGTCCTGCGCCGCCAAGGTCGTGCCCAAGCCGCCAAGCAATGCAAACACAAGTGGACTCACTACCACCTGCCGCAATGTGGTGATCCTCATGTCGTATGCGATTGACGAGCAATATTCGCACGTGGCTTTACGAAGGACGGGAAGAAGAAGAAGAAGGAAAAGAGTGTGCAGCTCCAACCAAACATTCCCTCCTCCTTTGTTTTGGGAGGCATTGTCAGCGTGAGCTGCTTGCGAGGGGACCTTGATGGTTGGTTTTTGGCTTGGCGTGCATGCCACATAAGCATTGCGATGGAAGGAAGTACCGAGTGTTGTGGCCGCAAAGGGGTTCCGGAGTCTCAATCTGGAGCAAGTAAGCTTAACACCATCAATCTGTTAAACATGATCCATTCCCTCATTTTGAGAAACTACCTACTCAACGGCCTAGCGTGATTTTGACCACGAACTGCAGCTTCGGTGGCGAGATTTCCGAACAGGGCAGCGTCGCCCTGGCCAATCAGGCGCAGCTCATATTCTGTGCGTCTGGTGCTGATGTGATTTCGCTTCGAACGCTTCCAGCAAGCAGCAAATACAGTCGCCAAGTCGCCAAGTCGCAGTCAACGTCGGCCACCATTGATTGAACATGGCCAGACGAAGACGCCTTCCAGAAGAGGCAAGTCAACCTTGAGCTTGACTGAGATCGGTGGAGTCTCCCGTCGGTGCCGTCACAACACGAGACGCGCTCAAGTGGTCAACTGCCGCTTGAACCATGGTGGCTTGCAGCCAAAAGCCAAATCAACCTTATTCCCCGGCCACTGAGCATCCGACGGCTTTGTCTGACCTTTTTTTTTGTGGTGGGCGTAGTAGCTTCCTTCATGCGCGGTGCCAATCATTTCCTATTGCCCCTACGCTACTTGCGTGTGCCTCGACGTCATTGTCCTCAAAGGGAAGCTCAAAGCATTTCCTCAGAAATAACGACTCTTAGCCATGGCTCGAGCTTCCTGGTCCGGCCGTCATTGCATGTTATCAGTGGGAACGGCGGCATGTAGAGATGGAGAAATGGTCTATATGTGTCGTCTGTTGCCTTCACAAGCTAATTGTAAGATCCTAACCCCCCGAAACCTTGTACTGTTACGACTTTTGAATCGAGAGTGGACTTACGGACCGTAAAATATACCTTCCCGCTCAGGTTGCTTCTTAGCCACATGCCTCATTTGGAAAATGCGACTGCTCCCTCATGGTCCACAAGAGCGTGGTAGGAGTATATAACTAGAGCATCGTCGTACTCATGTTGGAATCCGTTGCTGAAAAAAAACTCAAGAAACTCTCAACACTTTATATAGTGTGTCACTGTTAGAATAATAATGTTTTCGTTCAAAACTCTTGCGTCGCTGCTGGTAGCAGCCCTTCCGCTCGGCAATGCCACGCCCCAAGCTGGCAGCGCTGCCAATCTGGTCCCGGACAAGTACATTGTTACCCTGAAAGACGGTATTAGCGCGAATGACTTCAACTTCCACATGAACTGGGTTCGGGATGTTCAAGTGGCGAGAGCCGGCCATCGCCGGGGACTCAACTTCCGTGGTGTAGAGAAGACGTACGGTGTCGGAAACTTCAACGCCTATGCTGGCCACTTTGACGAGCATACCCTGGAAGCTATCCGGAGAAACGCTGACGTAAGGCCCTTCCAAATTATAGTAAAGGACGAGAGTCTGGGGCGTCACAATCTGGGGGCTGACGTGGAAATGTTTCAAGGTTGAGAGCGTCGAGCAGCAGCAAGTGTATCATCTGCACGAACTGACCACCCAGAAGGAATCAACTCATGGTCTTGCTACTATTTCCCATAGAGAACCCGGGTCAACCGAATATGTCTATGACAGTAGTGCCGGCGAGGGATCTACCGTGTATGTTCTCGACAGTGGCATTCAGGTAGATCATCCAGAATTCGAGGGCCGTGCTATTCGCGGGTACAATGCTGTCAAGGATGCCACAGACGAAGATGTGCAAGGACACGGCACTCACGTTGCTGGCATTGTTGGTAGCAAGACATATGGTGTGGCCAAGAAGACTAAGCTGGTAGATGTCAAGATGTTCCATGACGCAGGCAGCACCAATGAGATTATCCTGGACGGAATCGAGTGGACAATCAAGGACATTACAGCTAAGCAGATTCAGAACCGGACCGTTGTCAACATGTCTTTTGGTAGGTGTGACAGTTTTGTCCGTCGTCGCCCGTCGAAGCTCGCATCACTGACGATATTCTTTCCCCCCAACAGGCGGCGGAAACTCTACTGCACTGAACAAGATAATAAAGACCGCGTACGACGCAGGTATTCTGTGCGTCATCTCGTCTGGGAACGTGGGTGTCGATGCCTCAGACTGGTCTCCCGCCTCGTCCCCTGATGGCATCACTGTTGGCGCCATTGATGCCAACTGGCGGCTATGGGATCACTCCAACCACGGCCCCGTTGTTCACATCTTGGCTCCTGGCGTGGACGTCTTGTCCCTCGCTCCTGGCAATGAGACTAAGACAGGGAGCGGAACTTCTCAGGCGGCTCCTCATGTTGCTGGGCTGGCCGCCTATCTGGCAGTTGCGAAAAACATCAATACTGCAAAGGAGTTGAAGGCTACCATTCTTTCTCTCGGAACCCGTGACAAGGCCACTGCTGTTAAGGACGGCACAGTCAACTTGGTTGCATACAACGGCATCATATAAAAGATCAGCCAGACTGAATGATGAAGTAGGGAAAATTCGAAAATTTGCCGTTTTCACTCCCTACTAGGAGTTATTCGAATACTCTTTCTAGATATTAAAATTGCGCAATTCAATCCAGTAAGCAAGTAGCAGGTCGAATATGTGCCGAGAGTATCTTACATACATATGTAATTATTCCCAGCACACCAAGATCAAGTACACGCGGCCATGCCAGCTAGCCAATTGATACCGTTAAATCGTTCATTCTTTGGACTTTGACCATGAAAACTTGCGTACTCGAAATGACGGCAATTAGTAGGCTGTGGGCTTGCTCAAGTGCCGAAATGAAATAGTTGAGACAGCCGCGCGACGCGAGTGGCGTCCCAACAGTAGGATTTGGTCAAGCTAACTTGTATCCTCGATCAGAATTGGAACTTGGCATTCCCTCATCAGTACAAACAGCGAGCCTACTAATACACATTAGAGATATATAATTCGTCCACACATGTAGAATCGTAGTATCGCGGGGGAAGATCCATAGACGCCATTGGGCTAAGGCCATAGCACGGTTGGATGGCGTGATCTAGTCCGACTATCAGAGCTGTAAGCCACACCAAGCATTATGCCATGGGAAATGCGCTGGTAGGGACAAGGTTATAATGCACAAGGAGGCCGCTACTGCTTTTCGGGCCAGCTTATAAAGAGAGGGTGAGACATTTGACTGTTGTTGGACGGGTTGAATCGACCGCAACTGCAGGGCTGGAACCGGGGATAGGGCCATCGGTCGCTGAACAGGTTTCTCTGGGTGAATGTCGCCATTTTGGGTTCAATGGAGTGAATGTTCGTTGCGCAGATCGAAATGTCCTTGAGACAGAAAATCTTGCGTCATGAGTCGCGAAACTTGGGATCTGCCGGTTGCTGCACGCGGTGTTTTTGCTCATAAAAGAGCCAAACATAAATAGTACCAAGGCACCGGCATGACTTGATGTTTCTGAAAATGACCATTCTCCCTCTCCTATAGTCACACATTGCGGCCTCGAAACTCGGCTGAGCCATAACTACTTGGCTAGTTGTCATCATTAGCTATGAAGTTTACCTCTGTAACGGCTCTTGTAGCCTCGTACCTCGCCGCCTCTGCACTGGCTGCGCCTCGATTGGAAAGCAGAGATGAAGACAAGTTTGCCCAAGGTCTCCCAATCAGCAAGACTGGCAAGGGAGGTCCTATTAGCGGTTAGTTTATTGCAAGCTGTTGAACTTGAGCGTTCCATCAGCCTGACCGTGGCCTAGGTGGTACCAACCATGAGCTTGACTTGCAGAACCCCGACAACCTGGGCCGGCAGTCGACAGACAATGGAATTGTTCCAAACCTGAAGTGGAGCTTCTCCGACTCTAAGACCAGAATCCTCAAGGGTGGTTGGGTGCGAGAGCAGGTTGTTCAGGATCTGCCTCAGAGTCACGATATATCTGGCGCACAACAGCACTTGAAGAAGGGCGCAATCAGAGAACTCCACTGGCACCGAGTTGTAAGTTGGTCGTCCATCAACCCAACCCATAGTGTTGTGCTTACAGACTATACTTTAGGCTGAATGGGGATTTGTATACACAGGCCGCGTCCTTGTCTCTGCAGTCGACGAAAACGGCATATATCAGGCTGAAGAGTTGAACTATGGTGACATCTGGTACTTCCCCAAGGGTGTCGCCCATACCGTACAGGGTCTTGAAGATGAGAACGAGTTCCTCCTCGTCTTTGATGAGGGCGATTTCGACAAAGTTGGGTACGCAAATCCAGGTACAAGTATGACTGACGCACTTCCACTGACTTGACTGCAGAACCACGTTCAATATCGATGACTGGCTGGCACATACCCCTAAGGATATTTTGGCCAAGAATTTTGGAGTCCCTGAATCCGTCTTCGATAACATCCCTACCCCTAACCCATACATCCTGAACGCCACCGTCAGCGAGAAGAATGTCACTGGTGCTGTTACTCCGGTTGCATCAGGAAATAGCTCGTTTGTTTACCGTACCTTGGAGCACCCCGCTGAGAAGATTGGAGGCCAGGGAGGTGTGTTCCGCAAGATCGACTCGACCAATTTCCCGATTTCCAAGACGATTGCGGCGACATTTGTGACCCTCAAGCCAGGTGGACTGCGAGAACTCCACTGGCACCCCAATGTATAACTTACCCCTGCATCAGATATCCCAGTTCGCTGCTAACACTACAGACTACAGGCTGAGGAATGGCTATACTTTCATCAAGGGACGGCCAGAGCCACTGCATTCATTGGCAACGCCAATGCCAGAACCTTTGATTTCAGAGCTGGCGATACTGCTGTCTTCCCTGACAATTCTGGGTAAGGGCTTTACTCTTTCGTGGCGGTATTCTTGCGAGGAGCGTCGACGGGCTAACGCTCATCCAGACATTACATCGAAAACACTTCCAAGACTGAAGATCTGATTTGGATTGAGATTTACAAATCTGACCGCGTTGCCGACATTCCCCTCACTCAATGGCTTGCTCTTACACCTCCGGATGTTGTGTCTCAGGCGCTCAAGGTCCCGATTGAGTTTGTTGAGAAACTCAAGAAGGAAAAGCAAGTCTTTGTCGAGTAGACAGCACAAGGGTGCACGTTAGCTGGCCGGAAATTCCGGCAACTGTGTACATAGTTCAATTTACTTTCGTGGTGAAGGGTTTCATCGTAGGGTGGCAATTATTCCACAATATATAAATTTTTTCATCATTGCACGTGGCTGGTTGAGAAGTGTGTTGGCCGTGTCAATGCAATTGTGGCCCGTGGGGTTGAGAATGGCCGTGGGTGGCAGTCGTAATGTTGAATATGATGTGTGACGGGAGGCAGCTGATTAGATGATTGATAATACCATCTAAGATCGAGTCAGTCTGGTAAGCCTGTGGCCAAAGCTCGAGGTTCATTTCATCAGTGTCGTCAAAGACCGCGACCAGAGCCAGATATGGGGCGACCCGTGCTACATAGATGCCAAACCGCACTTATCTGCGTCCACTCGGAGAAGAAAGATGGGAATTTGGTGAAGACTGGATCTTTGACCATACGGGTGTTGTCAGTGCGCAATGTAGTATTCACGGTGACCGGTGGGCGTCACGCTGGGGCTGTTGAAGTGGTTGGACCTCGACGCTCGTCCTGGTCCTCCGGGAGTCCGGGGCATGTGATGTCGCCTGTCCTCGGACTGCAGGCTATCGAGGGTGTCAGTGCTCTCCTGGGCAGTCGGTATTCAAAGATCTCGAAGCGTGGGAAGATGGGTTGAAAGGTCGACGCCCGCCGAAACGGCTTCTCCCACGGTTGTTTTGGCGAAGAAATCTGTCAACCTCTGGATAGGTTCGCCGAACGCTACCGATAACCATTAGATGGTGACGCTCGGGGCGCTGTCATCCTATAACGGGCAGGCGCGACCCACGTTCAGAGTGTTGCTGCACAGGCCAACTGCTTTGCGGAGTTCGGAGCGCGGAGTAACGACGTGCCTGTAGTCGACGGCATTTTGAACACAGACTGGAGACTTGAGAGTCATTCTCTCAGCAACCAACGCGACATTCCAAATACTCCCATTCGTACTCCCGGCACCAATCTTCGGATGCACCCCAACAAGTGACTTACGTCTTAATCCCGGCCACATTAAAATGCCTCGCTCTTGGACTTCGCCCTTTACGCCAGAAAGCGCTAGAGAGCCGCTAGGTCCACTAGGCACCACAATGCGTTCTCGCCGACTTCAACAGGCGCATTCGTTTACACATGCCAGGGAGATCAGCAGTGGCCGCAGCCGCCGCAGCAGGATGCCATTGTTTTCTGCCACGAGGGCCCTGCATTAGTGATGCGACAGGAAGGCCACGTTGAAGCATGGCCGTACCGGACCCTTCAACGGGAGATGGAACATGGAACACGAAAGCTACATCGAAACCGTGTCGCTAGTCTTCTCATAATGTTCCCGACCGCATGGAACAACAATGCCTTGGATCTCTTCGATTCCCCGAGAGTGGATCCAGTGTTTGCCTGAAGCGGTCCCAAGTCCAGTCAAGATGCCGAAGAAGAGTTTAGCGCCAAGGGAGAATAAGCTCCCCTAGATCATCTCAAGATCCTATATCCCCAATATCCGTTCTCAAAGCCTCGTACTAAATCTCGTATCTACCGTCCGATATAGTCCGCATCCTGGTAGCCGAGCGCACAGCCGCCCGCTGCCATTGTGGACATGGATTGGCAGGATATCCGAGAACTCGCACATGTTGGGACGAGATGAGTCGAGATCCATGCTCATTCATCGCCGGCAGTGTCTGGCTTCCCACGGGCCGCACTTTTTTCTTTTCTGGAATAGCCCAGCCCGAAATATGGGACTGAGGCTAGGATCGGGCTCGGATATGGCACAGTCGAGCCGAACATCTGGGAAGGGACGCCACAACAGCACAAGTAGCAAAAGCAGCACAAACTTAGTGTGATGCCCCTGCGGAAGACTTGACGCCTCAACCCACTTGGTTCAGTACACTCCGTCTGAATCTCGGGGCCAACCCGAAGCGAGCGGCAACGGGAAGTCATTGTATCTTGGACGCCACTGGCTCATTGGGCGTGGGGTGGTTCGAAATCCCGGTCTCTCGAAGAAATCGATATATATCCAACTCATCCCCTGTCACCCTCTCAGATAGTTCCAACAATCTTGTTGACTACTGCAAGGTCAACTTCTACCTTGCAAGGTAACAACTAGGCTCAACATGAAGTTATCAGGGGGGCTCACTTTGCTCCTTGCGTCGACTATCCCAACAGTGGCCAGCGAGTCCGATTCATCGTCTTCATTGACATCTGTAATAACAAAACTTCCAGCATGCGCGGTATGACAAACTAAACTTCCCTCGCCTTCCCTCCCTCTTCTCTCATGCACTACAAACCAGACATCTGCTAACACAGAAAATGACAGGCTAAATGCTTTGGCGGAGCATTGACACAAACAAAATGCAGCTTGACTGATCAGAAGTGCATTTGCTCAGATCAAGTGCTGCTGGAGACTGCAACCGCCTGTATTATGAAGAGCTGCACGGCGAAGGAAGCGTTGAGTATGTTATTCTCATATGCTGAACACCCGGACAACCCGGACATGTTCTCGTTGGCTGTATTCTAGTCCAAACTAACTCCTAATTTACAGCGGTCAAGAAACTCACAAGCGAGGGCTGCAATGCACCCATCCGAGACAAGAATGCTGCCTATATTCGAGTGTCGGACGTTCTCGGAGTGATATCTGGTCTCTTCATATTTCAGAGATTCGCCTTTAAATTATGGGCGAAACAAACCTTTTGGTGGGATGATTGGTTTGCCCTCGCCACCGTCATCTGCGGTTCACCTTCAACCATTATCAACGCATACGGCGTTGGTGTTAATGGAATTGGACAAGATGCATGGACCCTCAGCTTCGATCAGCTGTACAACTTTGGGAAATTCTTCTACATTATGGAAGTTCTCTATTTTTTCGAAATCGCACTGGTCAAGTTGTCATTGTTGCTATTTTTCCTGCGCATCTTCCCGGCACCAGCTGTGCGACGGCTTCTCTGGGGCACCGCTGCGTTCACGGTTGTTTACGGCATCGTTTTTGTCTTCGTCGGCATCTTCACATGCTCTCCTATAAGTTACTTTTGGACAAAGTGGGACCAAGAGCATAGTGGAAAGTGCATGGATATCAACGTCATCGCCTGGTCAAACGCAGGCATTGGTATCGCCATAGACGTCTGGATGCTCACTATCCCCATGTGGCAGCTTAAGGGCTTGAAGATGCACTGGAAGAAGAAGATCAGCGTTGCCGCCATGTTTATGCTGGGTACATTGTAAGTGGCCCCGCCCGCCTTCACGTTATAACAACGCGGATTACTGACTCCTTTCAGCGTGACCGTCGTCAGTATTCTCAGACTCCGATCCCTCGTCAAATTCGGTACCGACTCCTTGAACCCAACGTGGGACTTTTTCGAAGTTGGGCTGTGGTCAACTATAGAAGTTAACGTGGGCATTTGGTGTGTCTGTCTACCCTCGTTCAGGCTTCTACTTGTACGCCTATTCCCAACTCTCGGTGGCTCGACGGCGCGTAGCTACGCTGGATACGACAGCAGCAACAATCGACCATCCGAAAAGAATAATCGAAGTGCAGGCTTAGGCCCTAGCGCTACGGCAACGTCTGGGTTCAACGACTGGCAGAACAGATCGAGCCCCGTCGCCAATCAGATAGCGTATCACAAGTCATATGCTGTTGAGGTTTCGGATTTGGATGAAGTTGCTCTGATGACTTTGAGAGACCATGAGTCGCGCACCGCAGCAAGCAGCAGTAGGGGAAGCGCATAGCGTGTATGAATACAGGATTAGACACGAGTTTCTGTTGTACAAATACTAGAGTCCAATACATTTAGAGGGATTCATGGATTTAATTGTCATTTAATTTATGGTGCAGCTCAGCATTCCGTATCAGCTCGCTACCAAACCTTTGCTCACCTCGCCATATTGACTGTCTCCGACTCAAGCCTTGCGCACCTCGCAAGTCGCCGTCGCCCTGGCCTCCGGATCAGACTCAGACGTCGCCGTCAACGTGACCACGCCAACATCGTCCGCATTCGCCGTCGCACCAACGGCGACGTTGGCAACCACTGTCTCTCCAAACTTGGCGGCCACCAATGCGTTGGGGACCTCAGTTCGCCACCCCTTACCCTTGACCTCGGCCTGGAGACGAAAGATGTCGAAGCCCACGTGCGGCTCCAGCGCGGAAGTAACATCAAATTCTTGGGTGTATTTCCCATCGTTGACGAGGTCAAAGGAGCAGAATATACCCTTGCCCGTGGGCGTATTCCCGCTCGGTTCCGGACGACCCTCGCCCAGCCTGACGCCGAACCTGCCCTTGCTAGTGCTGTTCAGAGCCCGTGCACCGACGGTATATGACAAGACGCCGGATTCGTCACGGATCTTTTCAAGAATATAAAAATGAAGACCGTTCGCCTCGTCCTTGTACTCGGCTTTGCTCCCCGAGCGCGTGCCAGCGTGGAAGAGCGCATCCAGAAGCTGCCTGTAGTCGCCCATCGTAACCATCGCCTCCGTGCCGTTGGGACGTACAAAGTCTGTCAGCTTGATGTCTTGGGGATTCGCGTCAATGGTCCATTGGAAGGGATCCGACGAGTCGCTGTTCTTGGTCTTGCTGATCATGACGCCGGCGTCGGCCTGGAACGAATCCGCCCCCATCCTGTCCACCACTTCCACGTCGTAGTTGTCGTAGCCGCCCCCGTCGCAGTACAGGTCTTTGTCGACGTCGCACGCGGGGGACATGTCGGTGCCGAGGAGGACGCGTACGCCGATACGGTCCGTCTTGACCGACCTCGCCGTGACGGTGGTGACCAGCGGACCCGTCGTCTGGAGGCTCTCCCTGGAGATGTTGACGATGCTCGCTTCGTCAATGAGACCGATCTGGAGCTTGTCTCGGACCGTGTGGAGGGATCCCATGGACGATCCCTGCACCGGGGGTACGTGCCACCGGGCGTGAGGGCCGCCGGGCCCGTTGAACGAGCCCCTGGACATCATCGACCACGGCCCCGTGAAGGTCCGTCGAAGCGGCGTCCCGTACGGGTTGTTGTAGTTGTCCGAAATATACAACAGGTGGCTCAGCTCGTGGGCAAACGTTGCCATTCCCGAACTCTCGCACTGGACAGACGAAGACAAACTGGGTTCGGCGTAGGGCCAAACGCTCGCGGCTGCGGCCCACGACGTCCAGGGCACATATCTAGTCGCGGCGTAGTTGGGCAGCGTGGCATTTCCCGCCGTCTTTGGAGGACCAAATGCGTCCGGGACGTCCTCTTTGCTGTTGAACTTCATTTCCCCAAACTCCTGCCATGTGGACGACTCGTCTTGTCCGGCAGTCAAGATGAACACGAGCTCGTACTTGCTCGCTGTTGAATTTCCCACGTCCTCTCTCCAGAGGCTTAGTGCGTCGTCTCGGACATCGAGCGAGCACTCTTTGCCGGGCAGACAGGCACCTGGGTTCATGTCGCTGATGCCGTACTGGTATGATAGATGGGGCATTCGGTACGGTCCAAAGGCTGTCAGGTCCACGCCGTATCGGCCGTGGGAATCCTCCATCCAGTACTCATGGAGGGTGTGGCCTCGGTTGAGCTGTCCCGGCTTGTTCAGGAAATCGCGGTACCAAGCAGGCACGTCCTCACGGGAAATGTTGGCTGCATCGGCTGACGGCGTGCCGAAAATAGTCGAGTTTGGCGGTCCTGTGATGGTGAAGTTCAAGTCGCTGTAGTCGACCGTGACCAGCGCAATATTGAAGTTCCTCTCTTGGCCCTTCTTGGACGGGTCGTTCCATTGAGTCCCGGGGGGAGCCTTGTAGTCCGCACATGTCATGTTGTCGGGATTCACCCAATGCTGAGGGTCGATTACTCTGAACGGATCGCCAGACGGAGCTGCCGCATGAGAGGTTTGCACCCAGAGTGCCGCAACCGCTGTCGCCAGCACATGATGTGAGTTGGACCACATTATGGGCTTTTCAGATATAAGAATTTCTCAACTCCTCGTGTATTTCGCGAAGCTCTTGGCCGGCAAGAAGGCTACCAAGCCTAGAGGCCGTTAGAAAGCTGCTCAGGAGGGGGAAAAGGGCTTTATGTACGAGCAGCTCCATGAACGTCGAGCTCCAAGCTTGGTCCTATGCGTAAGGACACTCCCATTCTAGGAAGCTGATTCCATCTTTCCGTGGAACGAAATCAACGGTCTGTATCTACATTTATGCGCCTTGTGATCCGAGTTCCCCGCTCCAAACGAAGTAGCGATCGATCCAATGTCGCTCCAACGCGGCATGCGGAGCACACATGATGAACTAGGCAAGTGTGTTGTTCCTGTGACAGGGACTTCGGATTTAACATTAAAGGGTGGAAGGTTGCCAGGAAGGATCGCCATGACACCGCAGTTTATTCCGTTAATACTAGGACTTTGGATGGGACCTACTAGATGTAGCTAGTTCGTTGGCAAGTACTTATGTACTTAGGTAAGCAGTCCTGGGACGACGACCCTGACAAAAATACCGACCCAGGTACTCCGTTTTCCGTACCTAGAGCTAGGTGGGTCCAGAAACCTCAATGCGCCAATGGTAAATGAGCAGGACATTAATGCTGTGCCATGTGGCTTATTGATCCAAGACGCGATTTGAGCTACCATTTTGCTCCTAATCATTCCAGGTTGGAAATTGGAAAGCCCGACACGACTCACAGGTTCACCACGATGGCTAATTTTACATCGCTCTCAAGACATTATTCCTCTATTGTGTATCTTCTCGTTGCATGTCAACAGAAGAGAGAATATAAAATGCACCAGACGTGAAGACTTTGCGCAACCCAAACACATTCGAGAGTCGAGAGTCGAGAGTCGAGACAGAGTCGTCATTACAGCTGTGATCGCTCAACACGCTCGCCCTCTTTGTTAAACCAAATCTTGTCACCAGAAATCATCGACTCCTGCAGAGCCGCGCCAATCTTTACGGCAGCCACTGCGGTTGCCAGCTTGACGGGCACCTCAGTGTCGTCCAAGCAGCAGGCGGTGAACTCATTGGCCTCTGTGTTGAAGGCATTCTTGAATCGGTCCCAGTACGTCTTGGGAACCTCGTGCCTGATGCCATTGGGCTCGTAGACGCGGACCAGGTTCGCCGTGGGGATCGTGTTTACGCCAATCTTGCCCTTGGTGCCGATGATCTCGGTCGTGTCCTCCTGGCCCGCGGCCATCATCCTGGAGCAGTAGAGGTACACGATGCGGCCGTCGACAAACTCAATCAGGCCGACGGCGTTGTCGCGGTCGTTGTACTTGCGCAGGTCGGGCTCGACGGCGGTGATGCCCACGGCACTGACAGACTTAACCTTGCTCTCGCCGTCCTCGCCAAAGAACCACAGTGCCAGGTCAATGTCGTGGATGGAGCAGTCGACAAAGATGCCGCCGCTGTACTGGGCATACGCGACGAAGAATCCAGAAGGGTCAAGCATGTCGCAGGTCTGGCTTCGGAAAACAGACGGCCGTCCGATGAGCCCGGCCTTCATCTTGGCATGGGCGTCGCGGTAGCTGTCGTCGAATCGCCGGGAGAAGCCGCACATGACTTTGAGGTCGGGCCGGCGGGCGGCAGCGTCAACAACTGTTTGCGACTGAAACCATTAGCACCACCTTGCTGAATCCGTGTGTTCTTTGGGGCCCTGCAGCGAGTAGAACAGCCGTGTGCTTACCACTTCAGCAGAGGTGGCCAGAGGCTTCTCGCAGAGGACGTGTTTGCCGGCCGCAATGGCGGCGATGGCCTGCGGCGCGTGGACGGCCGTAGCTGAGGCGATGCAGACGGCCTCGAGACCGTTTTGCTTCAGCATGTCATCGTAGTCGTCGTAGACACGAACTCCGGAGGGGGCCAAATGTTCCTCGGCCCATTCCCGCTCCTGCGCATCTGGTGTAGAGACGGCAACAAGCTCCGCTCGAGGGACCGACTGGAAAAAGTTGAGGGCATGTCGCTTGCCCATGCGTCCGAGACCGGCGACGCCAATTTTGAGCTTTTGGGGAGGCATTATTGGATGCTGCAATAGGGGGGGGATGCTGTTCAGTTGAGATGCTCGGATGCCAAAAGGACTCGATTGGAAGAGCGAGAGGGGAATTACTTTAATATTGTGGCGGCAAGCGGTGACGATGTTGTTCTGCGCAGTCGGTTGGGTTCGACTTTTATTCACCGCACCAGGACTCTTCGCACCCTCCCCATGGGCTGTTTCCCCAATCCGTTCCCACGAGTGGTGCTGTGACGAATCCGATTGATGGCAATGCAATGCAGAAGCAATGCACGAACCCACCCTGATGGAGATGGCGGATGCAAGGACGTCGACCGGCGTCGTGAGTTTCTGTTGGACGGCCCAGTCCATGTCTGACACGGAGTTGTCCCTGGCCACGGCCGTCGTCGGACCCAAACAAGCAAACATTAAACCTTGGCTGGGGTAAAATTGGGGCTTCATGGGGCTCCATGGGGCAGCGATGAGGGGGCATCATGGAGCGTCCGGGGGACGTGGAACATTGAAGGCCACATGCACATGCTGTGAGCGCACACGCACCGGACCCATCAGTGGCCCTTGACGCCACCATTTGGGCCTGGGCGCGTCTCGTCAGGGGCGCAGCCAACATTGAACTGCAACCGCCACGCGAGTGACGAGAAACGCCGCCCAGAGCATAATTCTGGAAAACGAGGACTTTGCTTCGCATTGATGGCTGCTAATACTAGATATGCAATAGCCGCTCGCAATCGTGGCAAAAAGGCAAGTCTCCCCGGCCAACTTGTGCGGTTAAGACTTGCGTTTTAGCCCAAGCCGGTTTCTGCCAGACATGTGCATGCCTCCTCGTACCGGGGAAGACGCAGCTTGTATTTGGCTCGTTTGTCTGCAGACACAGATTTGAGTTTCGCGGTCGATGACGTGTCGGAATCACAGTTGTTCCTGTCTTGGAAAGGCCAGAACAAGGAAAAAGAAAGAAAGAAGAAAACCTAGGGGCTAATGCTTGGCAATATAAAAAGCGGTAATAGTATCAGTGCTGTCCTACCAGCTACGCCTGAGCTAACCGAACCACGCGGTCTATTTCATATCTTCAAGGAAAGAAACAAGGCCGCAAGCCTAGCAAGCGCAGGCATTTGGATGTAATGCTACCTCGTCATCGTTTTGTGCTTACTTCTCGAAACAAGAACCAATTGGACTTGACGGCCGCGCACGAGTTCCGTACAGGTTCGTCTCAGAGCTCGCATGCTTCTCCGTGCCGAAACCAATGGCCGTCTCGGCAGTCGGTTGCGAAGGCCACTTTGTCGGTTATTGACATGATTGACGCAGCCCAACATGTTCCATTCGTTGGACATTCAATCGTCATTAACCGGCGGGATTGCCTGCCAGCCGTGCTTCTGCAGAGCCACAAGGTGTGGAACTGCTGTCAGATTCTCCTCTGTATATTGAGAAGGTTTTTTTTTTCTTTAAAAAAAAAGCGCAATTACAACTAAACCGATTGGATGGTCAAAATATAGACAACAAAATGATGACGGGCCTTTCCCCAGAATGCGTTGTCATGCAAGTCAAAACCCGTTTAATGTTTGGAAAGGGAACAAGACAAGGGAGCTGTGGCCGCCGGCGCTAGCTTCTTGGGGCATTCGTCGCCGCCGCCGCGACCCTCTGGGAGGCAACAACCGGCAGCCATCGGGCTCGGCAATGGCAACAGCCACCAGCGGCCTAACCCGGAAGAGAAGTGGCCGCCGGACCAGGAAAACACCACCACTGACGCACCATTGGCCTGGGCTTTTGTTTCCGACCTGCCGCTGTTGAATAATGTCGTTGCTTCGCCAGGACTTGGTGGCACAAGTCTCCGAGGCTCATGGTCGAGCATCGCAGGCGGGAGAGAGACAGCATCTGCATTTTGGACCTGGTGACAGAAACCACGGCCACGCCTCGGCGCAACATGGAGCGCTCGAGTGCTTCCGCTGTCTGGTGCTCCAAGGGCTTCTAGAAAACTCTCCTCGGCGCATGGAAGCCACATGCAGCCACTGAGTTTAATGCCAGGGGGGGCCAGGGTCCCCGAAGCCGCCTCGCCGCCTCGCCGCCAGCAGCCACGCACGCCATGGTCATAGATTGCCGATGGGCCATGGGCCATGGCAAGCTGCACCATTGAATGCAGACACGCATTAGTACTAGGGCTTTTCTTGCAAGTGTACTATTACGGAGGACGGAGTACGGAGTACGGAGTACAATGCCGCCGCACTCACTTGACCGCTCCTGCCTTTCCTTTGGGCCCCCCATGTCCTTGCACGTCCTTGGCACGAAACGGACTGGAGACAGAGCCAGCGTGTATGCACATCAAACTATCAAGACTGCGGGGATTGACTGTCAATTGATGTCAACCTCCAACCTTGTTCCCCCACAGAAACCAGCCGAATCCAGAAACAGATGGATGCAGATTATTCCCCCATGGGGCTCCTCCCGAGTCCCGACTAGCCAGCTAGTGTGCTCTGGGCGCAATGCCCGTCAAATAACAGCGTGGGCATTGGCTGGGCGCGCCGACAGCGTCTGGACTCTGGTGTCGCAACCGCCAAGTTCCAACATTGACATCGGAACCAGACATTTTAAAAAGAGTCCTCTATCCCCCCTCTCCTCACCAGCTGGCTGATCCAAGTCCCAGGCCGTGCCCAGCTTGTCTTCTTTTTCTTTTCTTTTCTTTTCTTGCTCTAGACTTTTTCCAAACCTCGTCACCTTCGACACCTTGCAGGCCATGGACAAGGTCGCCGCCGACTCCCCCAAGGCCGAGCACCAGGAGACTGATGCCGTGCTGTATCTGTCGACAGAGCCTTACGGGCCTCCCGGTACGCCCATCATCGATGCTTGCAGGGCATGTTGGGAATGGGAATCGTCCTTGCTGACAGAAATATCAGGCTTCCGGGGCATCGCTGCTTCTCGATACGTCGCAGTCTGCGCGTCCTTCAGTGCCATCGGCGGCCTGCTCTTTGGCTATGAGTATGCCGAAACCTCTCTGGCCTCTCTTTTGCACAAGGCTAACCAACTCGGGGGCAGCCAGGGCGTCATTTCCGTCATTCTCGTCATGGACCAGTTTCTCGGGAGATTCGAAGAGGTGTCCGACACGGCTTCCGGCGCCGGCTTCTATAAGGGGCTCATGACGGCCATGATCACCCTCGGCGCCTTCATCGGTATGAGACCTGCTGTCCGTCACGCTCGACGCGTGTTAGTCCTAACTGCACATCAGGGGCCCTGAACCAGGGCTGGATCGCCGACATGTATTCCCGAAAGTACTCCATCATGATTGCCGTCGTCATCTTCACCGTCGGCTCGGCGCTCCAGACAGCTTCTGTGGACTATGCCATGCTCGTCACTGCCCGCTTGATCGGCGGCGTCGGCATCGGCATGTACGTGTCCTGTTTCTTTGTTTTGTCACTCCCCCTTTTTTATGCGCTCGTGCTGACGTCCGAGGGCCCAGGTTGAGCATGGTTGTGCCTCTGTATATTTCCGAAATATCCCCCCCGGAAATACGCGGCACCTTGCTGGTGCTGGAAGAGTTCAGCATCGTCCTGGGCATCGTCATTTCCTTTTGGATCACCTACGGCACCCAGTACATCGGCTCGCATTGGTCGTGGCAACTGCCCTTTTTGCTGCAGATCATCCCGGGCCTGCTCCTCGGGTTCGGGGCTATATTCCTCCCCTTTTCCCCACGATGGCTTGCCTCCAAGGGCCGCGACGAGGACGCCCTCTTGAACCTGGCCAAACTGCGATGCCTCCCCATGACGGACCCCCGCGTGCAGCGGGAATGGATGGAGATCATCACCGAGTCGCGGTTCCAAAAGGGCATCCTTGCCGAGCGTCACCCCAATCTCGTCAAGGGCGGCGTGGCCAACAAGCTCAAGCTCGAGTTCTCAACCTGGATGGATTGTTTCAAGAGGGGCTGCTGGCGCAGAACCCATGTCGGCGCGGGCCTCATGTTCTTCCAACAGGTTACGTCGTCCTTTGTTTCCCCCCGCCCACTCTCCCGGACTCTAGACTGACCCTATCCAGTTCGTTGGCATCAATGCCCTCATCTACTATTCGCCGACGCTGTTTGGAACCATGGGGCTGGACCACAACATGCAGCTCATCATGTCTGGCGTTCTCAACGTGACGCAGCTCATCGGCGTCATCTCCAGCTTGTGGACTCTCGACCGATACGGCAGGCGAAAGATCCTCTTATACGGGAGCGTCGGCATGTTTGTGTCCCACTTCATCATCGCCGTTCTCGTGGGCAAGTTTTCAAACAACTGGCCGGCGCACAAGGCAGAGGGCTGGACCAGCGTCGCCTTTCTTCTCTTCTACATGCTCGCGTTCGGAGCCAGCTGGGGCCCTGTCCCCTGGGCCATGCCGGCCGAGATCTTCCCTTCCTCGCTCCGTGCCAAGGGCGTTTCCATCTCCACATGCTCAAGTAAGTGCTGCCGCTGGGCCTGCGTTACACACGAATCTCTCCTTCCTTTCTGAGCATGCGCTGACTCACCGGTCAACCTAGACTGGCTTAACAATTTCATAGTCGTAAGTTGCAAGTTGGAAAATCCCGGCGCGTAGCAACAAGGGGAAGCTAATCCACCTGCAGGGCTTGATCACTCCTCCCATGGTACAAAATACCGGATTCGGGGCCTATGTGTTTTTCGCCGTCTTTTGCTTCTTGTCGTTCGCATGGACCTTTTACTTTGTCCCCGAGACCAACGGCAAAACTCTGGAGCAGATGGACGATGTCTTCAAGGACCATAGCAGCACCGAGGAGCTGGAGCGCAAGAACAGACTCATGGCCGACACCATTCGTCAGCGGACCAACGGCGCTGTCGGCGCCTAGAGATGTCAAGTTGACCACATTATGACGTTTGTTTACGGTAAGGCACGGCGCTTGTATGATGTACATCAATTCAGGTAGGTTTAGTTAGATTAGTTTAGCAATGACAAGAGCTATTACCTAGGATGAATCCTCCATTTCCTGACGATGCCTGCGTGATTATCATGAACCGTCGCATGCAGTTTCAACTATCAGTCCCTCTAATACAGCAGTCAAGGAAATACATGTCACGAGATAGTAATGCCATGTTTCAGGCGCACACTCCGTAGGCAGTTCAGAGATTTTATTACTATTCTTCCAAACTACTCAGTTTTGCAGCATTTGATCACGTGGCTCAACGAGCGTGTTGAAGTTGGTTTGCCAAAAATGAAATCACTCTGCATGAGGGAAATGAGCGTCGTACACGAGCGTGTCCTCCTCGTAGCTGGTTGCATACAGCTTCAGTAAACACGCGAGCCTCTTAAGCCTTCGCAGTCAGGGGAAGCCGGTGGAAGCCGCCGCAGCAGGCAACATTGCGCTGGAGTTCAACCATGCGCTTCTGGTCGCCGGTTGGGTCGGCAGAGTCGGGCTCGAGACCCCAGCCGAGGAATTCGTTGGTGTAGTTGGGCTTGAAGTCGGGGCTCAGAACGCCAAGTCTCTGACCATACTTGGTGACCTTGTCCCAGTCGCGCTCGACATTCTTCAGGTCCTGGGAGAAGTAGGCGTAGCTGCGCTCAAAGATCTTCCAGTTGAGCTGGGAGTTCATGACGGGCTTGAAGTCGACGTACTCCTTCCAGGCCTGGTGGGGGTCGGCGAGAACAAAGTCCGTGGCCTTCTTGACGGCTCGCATGAAGGCGCGGACCTTTTCCGGGTTCTCAGAGATGAACTTTTCGTTTCCAATGTAGAGGATGGAGCAGAAGCAGCAGCAGCCGAGCTCGGCCAGCTCGTCGATGCGGAGCATTTGGACGTCAGACTTGTCGCGGCCCTGGCTGGCAAGCCACTCCTCCAGCTCGACCATCTGGACGTTCTCCAGGCCAATTCCGGCGTCAATGTCGCCGTTGATGATGGCCTTGGAGACGTTCATGCCGCAGCGAACGGCGGTGTAGTCGGCGGGAGTGAGGCCGTAGTGCGAGGTGAGCTCATCGATCTGGATCTTGCCAAACTCGCCGACGTAGCCGATTCTCTTGCCCTTGAGAGAGCGGAAGTCGGTTGTGATGCCAGAGTCCTTGAGGTAGACAACACCGGTGAAGGGTTCGTCCAAAAGACTTCCGATGGAGAGCACGGGGAAGTTGCGAGCCTTGGCCTGTATCCCGACAGTCAAAAATACTGTGCTTTGTGACACGGAAAGAAGATGCTAAAAAGACTGAAAATATAGACGTACAGCCAGAGTGTGGATCATGGCCTTGAAGCCAAGGTCGACTTTGCCTGTGCCAATGATTTCGGTGACGTCCTTTTTTTTTTCAGTTAGCCCTTTGCGGTCCCGTGGAAATGAATGAGAATACCATGACACACGCACACTAGGGTCGTTGGGCTCCAGCAAGGCCACCTTGATGCCTTCATCCTTGAAGTATCCCTTGGCCTGAGCAAGGTACAGAGGCGCGTGGTAAGGCGTAGCGTGCCTACAATAGCAATTAGTCAATGCGTGCGCCAAATAATCTCCCAGGGACAGTCCAATCCTACCAGTTGGCAAGGAAGGTGATCTTATCCGTGGACATTTTGGCGGTTCGAGGCGAACGCTACAGGAGTTAGTTGGTCTTCGGAATGGGAGCTACAGAAAGAGTCTTCAAGAAGCAAATCCTTTCGCTGGTATTATCCAGATCAAGTTCACCGGTATTTCTCAGATCAATCATCTCACCGTGGCGCGTCTCAAAACACTCAAGCACACAGGAAATCGTCTCTCTACCAACCGACACCATGTTTGATGGCAAGTCGGCAGGACGATTTGTGCTGAGGCGTCAAGAGCGGGACACGGTGGGAATAAGATTGAACACCCGGTTGCATTCTTGGTTCACTTTACCTCGACCTGATGATAGTTCCATTGCGAGAGGCATCATGGCTCCTCAGACGCTGGAGGCGTACCAATCGTGCTCGGACTACTGTGGTGGATGAATAGCTGAGCAATTGATGGAGTTTTGGAAGAGAAGAACGGCAAGGGTTTTTGAAAAAGACGAGAGAAAAAATGCCTCTCACGGCAGGAGCTGGCCATTTATATTCCCTCAAGTGCCGGCTCCGCAACGTCGTCAACCTCGTTCTCCACAGCCCCCAACAAATTGGAGGAGGGGTAATGATCTAATTATCCGGTTATCCGACGCGAGATGATCACATGACTGGCTTCTGATGACAGTAGGTTATCGCCGAGTTTCAATTGGCAGCATGGGTTGAAGCTGCTTTTCGTCACATTGGTGCCAACACCTTCAGGCATCTTGAAGCTATGATTGGAGCTTGCATCGGATGCTTTGTGGGTCGACATTACAGCACTTGAGATCACTCACCTTGTCCCGCGGGCCGCAAGTATCCGAAGCGCCAACTCGACTCACTGGGCGCGCAAAAGTTGACTGACGAGTCGATTAAGTCATGAGGCATGCGGGCAGCTCCTACGAGGTCTGAGTGCTGAAATCAATTGACCGAGTCGCGGCGACTTGTGAATATCTAAAGGCTCAAGTCAAGCAAGGTTTTTATTATGGTGAGAGCCCATACTCGCAATATCTGTCCGAGTTGCCCGCGCGTGCCGGCACATCATTTATTTGGGCGTCACTACGGAGTACTACTCGCGTCACAACAAGTGCCGATAAAACATGCCAGCAGTGGCTCCAGGCAACTTGTCTACGTTATTGTTTTGCTTTCTTCATTCGTTTTTTTGCGTTCAGCATACGCAATGCATTCATTTTGAAGCAAAAGGAGACCCGGGAATGCAACCCTATTCCGTGGAGGGCGGAGTGGCCGCCTTTGTATGCGAACTTCCAATTATGGCAATACGGAAGCCCCGGGGCTTAACTCGGGAAATTGTGGAGACAGCAGACGGGCCGCCGGCCCCTTGCACAATAAGACCACTCGGTGCTCGGCCGGAACAAGGGGATTACATAACTCGGGCCGTGCAAACTAGACGCCGTTGCAGTTGCTGCCGTCTTCTTGGGCGGGCCCCTTTGCGATGAATTTCAGCAGACGATTGCAAAGAGCCAGCTACAAAGGTGTGATGGATGAAGAAGCGGCGTGACTGCGTGTCCCCAACTTGCGAGGCACTCGGCGTGACGTGCTACCCTGGTGCCCAGGATCACTCGACTCCTTGGGCTGTATAATCAAGTACGGATATCCGCTTGTGGTAAACCAGCATTTGGGCCAAGACAAAATGCCGATGCCCTGAACCAGGTTCATCTGACAAGAAACTACTCCGTGAGGTCCAAAAGTGGACATGTCGACCGAGTCGGGGAAGCCCGTGAACAGCACCGCCTTGGCCTTTACATGGCGCCTCCCAACACGAGCATGTAAATAGATGAGTCGCCTTTGATTCCCCGTGTTTTTTTTATTTCTTGAAATAAATTCCTGATAGGAGACGCGGTCAAATGCCGTCATGATCAGTATAAGCAACAAACGTGAACGGAATGCTGTTTCCGACAGGTATAGTTGCCACATCACCATCGGAATGCAGTTGCAACACCCAAAACATAGTATTCTGTTCTGAGACGTGGCTTTGGAGTATCGACGGGACATCGTCCTTGGCTGAAGCAAGTTAGGTGTCGCGAATCTGGGGCTGTTTCAGAGCATCCCGCAACAAGCCCGTTCTTTTTCCAGAACCGCCGCCGTACGCCATGAGCTTAGCAATAAGCCTTTTTTTTGGGCCGTCAATCATTTGCAGATTTCGTTTTCTGTTTCCGCAGCCGCAAAACACCAGACGGCAAATCATTACGACTCTCCGCCCAAACCCCCTTGCGCCGCCGCCGTGCATGACGCTGGCAAAACGCTCGCCCGGGATATTCCCCCATTCCTCGAGAGTGGAAAAATAATGGCGCACTAACACGATGCGCCTCGCCTCGCCTCGTCTCGCCTCGTCTCGTCAATATCGACGGGTCCTTGGCCCCGTCGTTCTTTCTTGGCAGTTCCGAATTTTCCATCGGATGCTGACCTGGGCCACGATGTAGTTGCGTGCTATTGTGAAACCAGCGGAACCGATCGAGTGCTCGGCTTCCGAACAGGACACAAAAGAGAATCCATGCCCAAGTGAAAGCAACATACCTGTCTGCTGTACGACGTTCTTTTTTGGTTCTCCTCCTCTTCTTCAGTAGCGACTGGTCGCCTTCCATTCATTCCTCCGGACCCGAGTCTGGGCTTGTCTGTCCCCTTCACCTCGCTGGACGAGCTTCACAACTACTTCATTCCTTACCGGGCAACATTCTTGGTAAAAGTGCCGGGCACTTGGAGAGACCGCCGGCCGGCCGCCACCATTAATACATAAAGCGAAACGAAAAAATGAAGACATTCCCGTATCTGTTGGCTCTAGCCAGCCTACTCCAGTCTGGCATCGGAGCACCACATGAGGAACTCAGACCCTTGCGAAGTAAGTCTGACTATCAAAATACCCCAGGGCCATCTCCCAGGAAGCAGCGCAAACTTAACACCCCATGCAGTTCGCACCAACACCATCTCGCCAGGCGAGGCGAGCCAGATCCATACCGTGATAGTCGGCGGCCCCCAGGATCTCATCGTGCCCAACTTTATCATCGCCGCGGTGGGCGACATTGTCCAGTTCCAGTTCAGCAGCGGGAACCACACCATCACCGAGGGCATCGAGGGCTCGGGCTGCCAGCCGCTGCAAAAGTCCAACCCGCTGGCCATCCACTCCGGACACCTCCCCTACAACAAGGGCGACCAGGACGTCATGGTCTTCAACGTGCCCATAAACGACCTGAGCCCCAGGCTTCTCTACTGCGCGACCGGGCCGCACTGCCAGACCGGCCAGGTTGCCGCCATCAACCCGTCAGTAACTTGACTGCCTGCCTGGAAACGTGGCAAAGGAACTTGACTCTTTTTCATTGTTGGCTGACCGAGACATATAGGAGAAATGGGCAGCAGCTGGTCAATTACATGAAGTCGTGCCAGCAGGCAAAGGAGAATGTCGACGCTGGCAGTGCCTCTGGCGGCATTGTCGCCAAGATTCCTCTCGAGAATGCGGCATTTATACCCGCAGAGCCGGAGGGTGCCTAGTTGTCTCGTCAAGATTAGGAATGGGGAGACTCTTTTTTTTTTTCTACTATTATAAGATAGAAGCATATGAGCAAGTAATATCACGAGGTCGGAATAGCTGGCTCTTCTGCACAATACTTATTTCCCATGGCTAGTCTACTAGTACTGTATACGAAATTTCAAACCAAACATCTTGATCAATTTGTATCCACTCATGTAACGAAATCTGACGACGATAGAACCCCAGGAGAGTAAAAGGGAGTAAAAGGGTTACAATTCTTACTCGTGTTCTTGTCGCGACCCGTCGCCCCATTCTGCCCAAGTCCAGCCAGGTTTATACGAATACTACGCTTCGTCCTCTTCAAAAGGCTGCCTGTTGCGGGACGCGTATCATCTTCATCCGATATACTCGACCTCCTGAGCGCTGCGTGGCCGCGCGGTAATTCCCGTCATCGGCCCATGGCTCTGTATAGGAGTCACTGATTACCAATTCCATAAGAGTAAGAAGATTGCGGTTGATGGAAGGAGCTTCCTCCCAGCCAGAGATGTCGGGCTCGTGGACCGCGTAGCCACACAAGGACTTGCTTGCGGCTCTCATGACTCACGGGTACTGCCGGGCTCCTGAGAAAATGTAGCCCTGTGTATGAAGTGCGCCATATAAAGAATCCACTCATCAGAGCACTGTCGCAAGATTGAACCGCTCCGACGACGAGCCATATGCGACACTGGGATATTGAACAACGCTCCACTGCCTGCCCCCGTGATGATGACGACCTACATGCCAGGCATCCCAAGTATCATGTATCCTGTAGTTTTAGCCAACAATGTCTCATCACAGAATAGTACAGTACTCTGCGCAATAAGCTTCGGGACCAGCCCTTGGTCCCGCCGGTCCATTCTGCCCGCCCAGTGTCTGCATCGGAAAGCAGGCGAATGTGCGAATCGCGCCCTCTTTCCCTCTCCCCTCGACCTGCGTTGCGCCTCGGACCATTTCAATCAGATGATAGTCTTTCTCGTACTCGTCCATCAGAAGCTCCAGCTGCGCCTGCTGCGCGGCATCCCGCGAAGATAGCCAAGCCGCGATGAGACACAGCGGAATATGAGCGGCAGCCAGGGGCCTTCGGTGCCGAGCCCTCTCCGCAAGTTGGATGGCGTCGGCGCAAAAGGCATACCTCTCTGCGGCTGCAAGGTCGCCGGGGCCAAAGTGCTTGCCCACGAATGCGTTCAAGGCGATGGCGATGGATAGGATGACGCACTGCGCGGCGTGGAACTGCGTCTGCGCCCGCACAACCCGGAGCGGGAGAGACGTCGGCGGCCCGACGCATCTCGCCTCGATGACGCTGTCCCCGAAGCGCTTTATCCCGGGATAGTCGGTCTGTATCATCTCATAGTAGGTCCTGATGGTGGCGCTGTTCTCGACAGGGTTGCGTATGAGCTCAGGCAGCTTCGAGAGCCATCCCATGTCCAGGGATCGGAGGTTGAGGCCCAGCTTTAAGGCCGCCGCCTCTTCCTCCCGACTCGTCAGGGGGCGCACCTT